AAAAAAAAAAAAAAGGGTCAAAGACGTCAAACCATAAAAAATAAAAATAAAAATAATGATAAAATAATTAGGCGGTGGATTGATTGTTGTATATCAATCCATTTGGGGCCGAATCCATTTCAAAAAACACACAAATACACACGGAGGAACCGAAGCAAAGAGAAAAAGATGAATAAAAAAGAGGAAGAAAAATAAGAGAAGAGGAAGAAAGAAAAAGATATAGAAAAGTTTTGCTAAATTGTTGGAAAATAAGTGGTTTTTAGTATTAGGCTTGAATTTCTTAATTTTGAAAAGTAAGTAAAAAATTACTTATTGTCAAGCTATGTTTAATTTTATAGTTAGATTGTTAGATTAAATTAAATTTATTGAAGGGGTTAAATTTAATAAGCTATGAAATTGAGTAAAATGAAAGAAAAACTAATTTTAGTGATTAAAGAGATTTTAGAAATCGCTTAAATGTGAAATGATTAAATTTGGATATCGCTTATTTAATTATTGAGATTACTTAAAATAGTTAATTGTTAATTTAAAAATTATATCATATTTTATGCTGTGATACGGATATTGAGACATCTTACCAATCGAGTTGAATTTGGCGAACATAGTTCAGTGAGTGAAAAAATATAAATATTTTTAAAATATTTATAAATTAAGTATATTATCAAGGTATGTGCAATTATTGCACATTTGACTTGGTATGTAAGATATGTGATATTGAGATTTGTTTGGTATGTGAGACATGTAATATTGAGATCGGCCAAAAAAGTACTCATGATTATATATATCTTCTAATTTACAGAGGGCCCTTGGTCGTGTTCTATCATACACGGAAGGGTATTAACCTGATATTGGTCTTGATAGTGTACATATAGTTTACAGAGGGGCCTTCGCCGTGTTCCATGATTGATTACCAGAGATCTTGAGATTGGCTTTCGTTCACGAAAGGGGCCAAAGGCCGTGGCAAAAGTTCTTAGCCCGAGGGATTACATATTTTAGTTGGAGGGTACATTTTTTGACGATTTTTCGGTACATTTGATGTGATGAGATTATAACATGATTACCAGCTTATGTTCATATCATGACTTGAGATGATATTTTACCACGTTATGTGAATGTTTCACATTTTGGCTATAATTATATGATGTTATCTTGTGAGTTATTCAATGATATGAATTCGACTTTCAATAAAAATGTAAAATTGAAAAGGTATAATTATTTTCGAACTTTTCCACTCATTTATTAACTTTTCGCTTAAATTGAAAATGTAAAAATGGGGCTTGGGTCTACGGCGCTCTGAGCCGAATAGAGCCGGCTCAAACTTTTCCCGAGCTGAGCCACGGGCGGTTCAAGCCGACGAGCCTGATTGCCATCCCTAGCGTGGACCATTCAAATGGCAATTAGTTTCATAATGAAGTGTACTTTTCCAAACCTTAGAAGGGTAAAATCGTAAATAGGAAAACACATTTTTCTAATTAAAAATAAAGCATAAGCAATTGACTAAACACTATTTAGTTTAGCCAAAAAAATTAAATTATTTTTTATTTTTTCTTTTTTGATAAACATATGTGATTGTAAAGTTAATAAAAGTTGTGGATCTTATTAAATGTATAATCTATTAAAAATAAGTTTGAACGAAAATAAGTTCTAGAAAATGTAAACCAAACATGAGCTAATAATGATACTATCACAACAAACTTCATGAGTTAAATTGAAATTTAAGTTGATTCATTAATTAAGGGTCTTGAAGGGGAAATATTTGCATTACACATTTACTAATTGGATTATTCGAACTTTTCGTCCACCTCCATTCCGAAATGTTACTATTATAACCTCAACCTTTTTGGACACCAAACATTCTCAACATTTCGTAAATGCAGTAAAATTCATCCCTATATCATTTGGCCACGTAAAATCACGAATTTGCTCCCACTTTAAATAAAAACAAAAAGACAAGGCAAGCAGCTAAATATATTTATATATAAAAAAAATGTAAATGCAAATTTGAGACAAGAACCCAAATCTTTTCAAAAATTACAAATAGGTAATCTTCTCCAGCCATTCTTTCCCCCTAGCCAATCCACCCAAACCACCACAACTGCCCCAGATTCTTCAAGTTAAATATAAAGCACAATTTCGGAAAGGCTTCACTGCACATCAGTTCTAACCAAAAATGAAAACAAGAATAACCATTTAATCCCACTTGTATTCCAAACACGCACAAAACCAGAAAAAAAGGGAAAAGAATTCTAAATGGTTATAAAGAAACTGAGCTACCGAATTGGATTACAGAGTATTCCACTCAAAATGCAATACATTTTTCCTTTTTCTAATCCAATTTTGATAAATCTCTTTTGCGAAGAATCCAAAATTTTTTTTATACAACACAATTGTTTCCTAAATCTATACAACCTGTGATGTTTAGTATCTCAAAACTAATCCTGAACTCAACGTACATGGACACGGTTGTGTAAATGACGTACCGACAAACAACCATGAAATAACTCGGAAAAATGATGCTTCTGTGCACCTACAAAAGGGTGAGATAATAGCTTATCGGCCGTCCATCTCGCCTTCGGATTCTTGATTAAGCATTTACTCAGAAAATCCTTGGCGTCTTTGGAAGCCTTACTCGGAATCTTGGGCAGTTCTTCACTGCAACCAATCTTGAATAAAACGTCCTCTGCCTTGTGTTCTTTCTCGACTTTCCAAGGTGATTTTCCTGTAATCATATGCAACACGGTGCATCCTAACGCCCAAATATCCGACTCTGGCAGGTATTCTTGATGGATAATGGACTCCGGAGTCGCATATAGGACAGTACCCCTGAATTCCTTATTATCTTCGTCATCTTTGATCTTCTTTGCACTCCCGAAGTCGGCCAACTTAGCGATTTCTCTGACCCCCTTCTTTCTTGAAGGTAAAGAATCAGATACTAGCAATACATTGTGTGGTTTTACATCACAATGAACGTACCCAAGCCTATGAACATGACTCAAGGCGATAAGCATGGATTTTGTGTGCTGTCTCACAATGTTCTCCGGCAAGCCTTTTCCCATAGTCCGATCTGCTAGACATCCTCCGGCAGCATATTCGAGCAGTATGTTGTATAGTTCATCGCCTTCTTCCGTGGTAACGTCATCCCCATAACAGTGAAGGATAGATGGACAGCCATTGAATATATCAAGCAACTTCTTCTCTCTAACGAGCGAGTCTGATGCAGAAACTTTTGCAGTTTTGACAGCGATAACTTGTGGAAACCGATCGCCATTCTGTTGGAGTACATTGGCTATAGAAACCAGGCCAAACCCTCCTCTTCCGATGGTTTCTCCTCTATTCCAAATCATGTTTCTGATCTATGTTCTTTTCCTTGCTCAGCTCAACTATCTTGAATTCTCCATTGTGGGTGAACGTGACATGATAGTTTTTGTAGGAAAATAGATGGTTTTAACCTGGTTAAGAACTTCCGATTTGTAGTAGGATTATCAGCTAACAGGTAGTAGAAACTCAAAATACGTGTGCATATATACCCAAAAGAAGAAGAAGGATCTGTAACCTAGTAGGACTATAACCCCTTCTGGATTCTGTAGATTCAATTTTAAGATTATATCTCAGTTTTCGGTTGACATGCTTAGTATTAATGTTTCCTCTATCAAAATGACTTCTAAGGTGATTCTAATTATAAAGGGATTTCATGTCACTTCTAATTCAACGCGTTTTTAAATGGAATTTTTCTTGCACGAGTTAGAATGTCTTCTTTCATGTAAATTACACTGATCCAATTTTAAAGGGATATTAACTCCACATATTTTAAACCATTCTTTATAGCATAAATTATCGTGTCACCTCCTTATTCTTAAAAGTGTAAACTGGATTGTGTCGAATGGACATAAAATCAATTTAATTTAATTTTAGATTACCTTTATCTTGACACATGCAATTTATAAACAAGTTACCATTTTTGGGGTGTGTTGACAAATCATCTTTCGGCTGACGTTCATCATCATCATCATCATCATTATTATTATTATTATTAGTAGTAGTAGTAATAGTAGTAGCAGCATGTCATGTACTCGTGGCACTTTTGATACCATAAATAATTAATAACAATAATAAATGAAAAATTATCATTTATTAAATTCTATCTTGTGTTTCAAATTCAAAAAAAAAATTATTTTCTTTCAGTTTTTCTCCTTTGTCGAGAAAAAAAAAAATCAAAATCAATTATATAAATTGTTCTATGGAAAAGGAAACAATAAATTCAGAAATTTCATCTTTGAATGAGTATTTTTACACTTACTAATTCCTCATAGTCAAACTCGGGAATAATTTATTGTTATTATTGTTAGAATTTCACAAGGCATACTCTATGAAATCCTACGAACAGGAAAAATAAAAATAAAAAATATAATTCCATCCGATTTATAATCAAGTAGCCGACACAAGTAGAATAAATTTTATTATATCTACTTTGACAAATTACTTGAGGAATTTAAGAATATGTTCTAATTTTTCGATCTGTATTTAAAAATAGAAATGAGATC